TGTGTAAAGAGTGTTGTCAGCAAAACAATTACAGGTCTTTACAAGGACACGCGCACAGGGGTGTGTGCAGTGTTATTCATTTAGTTAAGAGTAGAAGGCTTTTCGCAAAATTATACGTTGTTCTGCATAGTAAAATATACAAAAATTGGTTAATGTAAAAGAAATTCAGTGAGGTTCATGTGACATGAAATGGTGTTCTTCATTGAAAATAAACAAAAAAAAACAGGCTCCCTCCCAAAGTCCCCCATAACTCCTCCATGACCTGTCGAGAGCATTCCAGGTGCCATTGTTTAGCAACCGAGATATCTGTCACTTGGAGCCTCACAGACCTTCATATTTGTTTTTTTTAATTGTTAAATATTTCATATTGATTTATTTATAAGATATTACAAAATCAATCTGAAATTCTTCTTCGTACCTTGCCCAGAATTCATTTAAGTACAGCAGCATCACATGTGTAGAACATCTATTTCCCAACCTCTAGGGGTGCACAGGGAAGTGTATACTACCTGGGAAAATTGAAATGTCTTTATTATGAGGAAGAATAGACTGATAATCTAGTATACTGCATCTCATTCATTGGTTGATCCATACTCCATGATCCATAAAAGAGGGTGTAGGTTACTCATTTTTGCTGCCACCTGATCTCATCTGTCTTCTGTAGTAATTTACCTTTTAAAGACCAATCCAGCCCCCTGGACAAAGTTACTCAATCTTTGTTACTCAGATAATTCAGGTAATTCAGATAATTCAGGTTTTATACACAATTGTATAATCCACAGTCAAACCCTTCTACTTTGGAAAGGTTTTATACACAATTAATGTCAGTATCTGCTCCTTTCTTTATGCTGATCTTATTATCTTCTATGGAACAAGTAATAAGTGTATTCCATGCTGAAAAAAAAAAGAAAGAGAACACAGCGTTTCGGCTGTGGAGCCTTCTTCAGGTGTGAATTCTCTGAAGGGTTTGACTGTGGATTTGAATGTGTTCAGGTAGGTGACTCACTGATATTTGGAGATAGTATTCTAGAGCTTTGGGGCGCAGCAAGTGAAGGCCTTATCACCCAGAGTCTAGTCTAGTCCTGTTTGTCCCCCAAGCTAGACTAGACTCTGGGTGATAAGGCCTTCTCTTGCTTAGAAATTTTATTTCTAAATACTGTACAATCCTACATCACATCTACTCTATTATCTCAAGCTGCGCATTTTTCAAGGATCATCTCCAACATTTCAAAATTCTCTCTCTCTAACAAAGACACCATTTGTAGCAGCAGAATTCTCTGGCCATTCCTTCCTAAATAGAGCTGCCTCCTCAGCAGTTCAGGCTCCATGGCCGAAACGTTGTGTTCTCTTTCTTCTTTTTTTTCAGCATGGAATAAACCTTTTACTTGTTCCTTTGCAGCCTACGCATGCTGACGCAGCTACCCACCTGAATTATTATCTTTTATATTTCTTTTTGCTTTCTTTTGAATTTCTTGTAACGCACTTTGAGAAGATAACAAAGATTGTCTCTGATGCTTTTACCTCCCCCCTTGTAAGCTTACGTCCTGCAATTGTTGTTTTATTTGGTTGAGCAGTTTGAAATGTTTTTGAGTTGTGTGGAGCTCTCTGTTGCAGTTTGTGGATATGTTTCCGTTTATGTGACTTTCTGTTTTTTTCTGATTGCTTCCAGGGAGAGCGTGATGGGAAAAGAGGGACCATCAAGAAGAGAAAGAACAAAACGCGGCAGGTGTAAATGTTACTGTTGATAACTGTTGGCGATATTTCAATTACATAAAAGCAGGAATATTAAAAAATGCAAACGGTTTCGATATACTGTACTTACAGAACTCGTTCTGCCTGCAAATGTGTCTTTGATGTGTTTTCAAGAAAAAACTGATATCTGCATGTGAAAGGGGAGTGTTGAAGGATAATATCAATCCAAAACGTTTTAAGGTGCTTTTAGTTTTATATTGTACAGATGCAGCCATTCAAAATGCACGGTACAAACCCGCGGTACGGGAAAGGTGATTGGCTGGCCAAAATGACCGACAGGGGCTCTCATGGTGCATTGGTCAGTAGTGAAAAGATTTAATCATTTAATCTCTTTACTGTGCACATTTTAATCCGCTTAGTATTGAATATTTATATGAAATTTTACCACTAAAGGGAAATTTTAGTAGCTGAGCATAAAAAGAAGAGGAGCATACGCATCTGAAGGTCATAAACGATATTAATTTAGGAACATAAACATTACTGTATGTAAACTGTACTGTGTATGGGTGGTCTTGGTAGTTTAAAGAAAAAATACACACCAGTCTTCCATTTCTCCCTAAACATTTTAAGCATGAAAGTTTTATAAAACGGTACCCAAATATGGGATTGCTGTATAGAATTAATTTTAATTTTAAAAAATTATTTAACACAAAAATTAAGCTGTTTACATCTTCCGCCTGAGAACATAGTCACCCGTTGCTTCCCAATGCAGAAACACAGCCACTAACTAGCAAATAGAGGACATTAGCTAGCCAATATGATAAAGAAATAAATGATTATTTTGTTTATTTCTTTTGCACATTTATTTGAACATTTCCATCGATTGTACAAGCACTTGGAAACGCCCGTTTTCCATGTAAATAGTTCCCTGGTTTCGCACCCCGCACCAAACAAATGTATATTTCTAAATATCACAACATGATCGAATTTAAGTCATTTTAATAACAATGAATAGTCACCTATGCGTTACAATATAAACATTTATATTGATTTAAATCGCGTTTAAATCGCCTTTATTTAAAACCCATAAATAAAGCTGATACTGCTTAGACTTTTATTTATTTAAAACTGTATAACAGCAGCACAATGAACAATGCAACGTAAATCGCTATCTTTGTTTTCTTCGTAATAATGTTCACCTCTCTGTCCAGCAAATTAACAATAATAATAATAATGAACTTTATTGTATATAGCGCCTTTAAAGGTGGCTCCTCAAAGCGCTTTACAGGATAAAAACAATAACAACAATAGTGTTAGGCTGGGCAAACGATTGTTAAACAATGTGTTCCGGCTTAGACGTTAACGAAGAGCATAACACGTGGGCGGCGTAGCGGTCAGCTCTGGCTTTCCCATCTATACTGATGCACTGCAAGTACAACCCCCCTCTCTGCGGGAGTGCTGGCTGTGACTAATTAAACTGGTTTCACAGGTATTTTCAATAGAAGGGGGAGAGATTTCCAGCGAAAGACACCTCCCCCCTCCAAAACCACCCAGTAAGTACAGTACTTACTAGTTAATAAAGCTAGGCCATTTTTCCAAGAAAGTTTAGCCTTTGTCACTAATGGAACCACTAAATAAAGACATAAATATAGAAATCTTAAGATTTTTAAAATACATGACTTTGTTAAAATGTATTTAAAAATAAAAACGATTACAAACGCCAGCGGAGAGAGAGAACAGGGGAGGGATGTTGGTTTTGCATAAGGGAAATGAGGTCTATTTGGGAATGTGGAGTTACATGTTCTGGCTGTTTGTGAATTATTGTTGTTGAGGTGTTGAGGTATTGATTTTGTGTAATGCTTTATGTTGAAAATTGAGGTGGATTTTGTTTATGATAAAGAGGATAAACTGGGATTGGAGGAGGGAGGAGGGTTTGGTTTTGCATTATGTTAATTGGAGGAATTTGAAAGAGTTTGCAGGCTATTTTGGTTTGTATTACGAATAATTCGTACAAGATATTGAGATTTGATGTTGTTTTGTTGAGATTTAACTACACAAGTCTGAGTTCTTGTGTCCGTCCTATCCGAGCCCGAAAGTATTACAATATGTATCTTTATAATGGTGTACAGGTGGTGTACAGCTTTTTAGTATAGATTACACTTTTCTAAAATGTATTAAAAAAATTAAAACGATTACAATCTAATCTTTCCACGTTTTATCCCAAGATCCCAAGAAAAATAAATCTAAACGGGGAGAAAGCTATGCTGAAAGTTTATTAAGATACTTAGAAGACAAAGATATCAATTTATGTTGCATTTGTCTGATTGTGAATCAAACAGCACATATATTTAAACACGCGTTT